TGGGAAACACATTCGCCCCGAGATGGATGATTGCTCTCGGTGTCGGATAACGAAGTGTTAACCCTTAACCGGTAGCGTGTATTTTTTTGCAACGCTCAAAGCCTCGAATTCCTGCATTGTTATCTCGGCGAAGATTCCTTCGGCTCTCCCTCCCCCTCCCTCTGCTTCCCCAGACCAGCCGAAGGGGAACAAATTGGGCTGAATTGCGAGGAAGCCGGGGCAATCAGTGGGAAATGATTTTTTGAAAGAAACCTTGAGATTGGTCTATTAACGCACAAGTAGTGCCATTAGATAACAATTTATGTCAAATTATTAAAATTTCGGGTACTTGAGCTTTATTGTGCGCTCTTCGCAACGGAGATTCGTAAATGAAAAATTCATTAACAAAATTAATTAATTTAATCCTTGGCATAAAGCTTGAAATTAGTGAAGAAAGATTTGTGTTTGATTGCTTGCGCGATTCCGCTTGTTCATGTGGATTAATCTCAAGTTGTTGTGATTGTTTCATTCAATTGTATGTTGAACCTTTAACAAGAATATTTAGCAAAATCATGTTTAATATCTATTTGTTAAATGTTTAATACTATTATTTGTGCGTTACACTAATCTTTCATGGTATTTTTTCCAAATTTGAAGTCATATAAGAAAGTCACACGAATATTTTAATCATTGAAATCTTCTCAACATTCATGCAATTTATATCAAATTTTTAGAAATTAACAGGACAGAATTAGTAATTTCTAGCAACCGGATCTTTTTAACATTCAATTCTGACACGTTTATTCGTTGCTCTTGTTAAATATAATTCTATTTTATAAAATCATAGATCATCTCATGCCGTTTACTTTTCAAACTTCACTATCTGTTCATTGTAAGTACCTACTTCCAAACAGGCTGCAATTAGTCTTACAGTTGCATTACTTTTTCCGCGGTGTCACTTTTGCATTTTATACGAATTAATCAAATATTAATGAATTTTTGTGTAATGATTAAGTCATTAACTGGTTTCACCTTTTTTAGCTTGTCCGCGAAAGTGGCAAGGACTGTTATCTGTCATCTATTTTGCCTGTCATGCGGTATCTTGATGGTAATTAATTGACTTCGGGATCCGTGGTTATAAATATAAAATTTTATCAAGCTTCTATGCACAATACGCCGCGATATTTCACCAGATACGTGACAACTGTACGAAAAAAGTGCATATTCTTTCGATTCTTGAAGACTGAATTAAAAATCGGAGAGCAGCCGATATTATCAATTTGCCAATCAATCGTTTGTATGGCATTTCAAGCGTGAATCTTATATTTGCAAAGAATTACTTTCGTTATTTAATTTATCATATTCTTCTAATATTCTTGCTCAGCATAGTATACAATATTATTATACGTAGCTATTACAATAACTTTGATGTTATAGTAATCTTAATTGGTTGGTCGTGCCATTTTGAGAAGCATAAATATATTCACCACTCATCACTTTAAACATAAATATAAAAATTCGATAATAACCTCTGTAAATCGGTTATCTAATATAAGTATTATTTTAATATTAGTAAGTTAGTGAATTCTTATGAACATAACTAAAAAAGTCGAACCTAGAGTATCTCGTACAATTTTATACATTGCACAAATCCTACAATATGTAATATATAATAAATTTCATTCACAGTCTAGTTATTACTATCATTAGAGCAAGTAAATTTACGCAATAATTTATGAACTAACAACGTTAGCATTAAGCAACGTTAATATTGACTGTGACACGTTGTAATTAACAAGCACAGTTGTTCTATTACATCTCGAATTCTACAATTGTATTATTCAAGATCGCAATCATTTATATAATCTAAAATTTCGTGATTTGTTAATACGGTAATAGGTCTACGGATTGTTAATCCATTAAACTAATGTAAGTCGAATGTAAGTACTAGTTGACCAGAGAAATTAAAAGAGAAGTCGTTGCGAATGTCGTTGAAACGATAAAGATTATTCATATTCTAGGTATAAATTATTTTCAGTTGGTCAAAAAAAGTAATTGACAAGCGAGTAATTAAAAATACGTCGATACATGACATCATCGCTACGATATCTAACCTGCCATTACGTAGTAAAAAGGAAAAGAAAGGTATTAAATAGCCATTTTGCACTCTTACACGATCGTGTGATCTCAAAAGAAAGTAGCCAGTTCAACCTGATAATTACCTCAATTTCGTTTCGATTTTTTATTACTCGGAATTAACAATTGCATCGTTTCATGCTCATTCCCAACGGAACTGCTAATGTTTAACCTAATGTATCTAAGTGACATATTACAATTCAAACTACGTACTGCTGTTCAAGTATGAATTAAGCATTGAAAATGGTGGACACATCCATTAATTAAAATTTGATATCTCGCTTTTGTAAACGGTATATCGACAATTTCAAAATTACGTTTAATAAATTTTGTATTATAACTTGAGTTGCTGTATTATGGTTCACCCTATAGTTTGTTGAACAGAATGTTTTAAAACTTAGTATATCATTTAGCCGACTCTTATTCTCGATGTTGTACAATAAAATGCTTCATTCTTTCGCTATTCTGAGTGTCTCGAAATTGAATATAATATGCGCATTATTTGAAAAGGAAACAGCAATCTCATCACGATGCAGCGTGAATTTTATTTGTCATGCTGGTAAATTGCTTCGTAAATTAATTAACTCACATATAGCCGTTTCATTGGCCATCAGAGCAGAACTCACAACAGACGTTTTGTTGCAAATACTGAATTATTATTTTTAAATACATTAGCCTATTTTGCCTTTCTTCTTCAACACGCGATTATGCTTCGATAATTTTAACACTTAAGGAACAAAATGAAAAGTCTAATATTACTGTGTAATTTTGTAGATAAAATTCTTTATCTAATTTAGATAAAGAAATATTATTTTAGAACTAGAAAGATGCTAAAATTATTAAAAATGAAATAAAATTTGAAATGAGAATTACTACACATTCTTTTGATATGTCTAATTGCTCAATTTAAACAGTAAAATAATAATATATTAATTTAAAATTCGTAATTTTCAATACAAAGAGATTAGAAAATATACTTATTTAGCGCTTCATTAAATAAATAAATTAAATTATTATTATTACTTTATATCAAATATTGCTTTGAATCCAACGAAGTAATTCAAAACATAAAATAATTTTATCTTACAATTTTAACTTTTAATTTTAAATTACATATATTTCATTAATTTCCACAAACATCCGTAATCCTGTCTACGATTTCATAATTCTATAATTTTGTAATTTATAATGTAGAATTTTATAATTTTGTAATTTCATAATTCTATAATTTAAAATTCCTAATTTTATAATTCAGAATATCGTTACTTTGTAGTTTAGAAAATCATTAATTTTTTATAGAATTGTTTCGTAAACTCTGCATTGCAATTTCACATTCACTCCACACACAGGAAGAGCTTTTATAGCACATTACAGCAGTCCTTGGACGAATCTCTCATTCTGCAGATATTTTAAAATTCTACGTATTATTGTGCTGTATAATGAATACCGCGAAAAATGAACACTAATGACGCACGTAAGAAGTTTTTCTTCATTTAATTTTACGTTCATTCTACCTTCTGAGTTCTGTCTATCTATTTATTTACCGTAATAAATATGTCATGCCATTCATATAATTTCGTTTCTTCGCTTTTACATTTCGTTCACGAGTCGAAGTTGTATCTTACCGAAACAGTGCATATGCAGTTCCTCGATACTGGATCGTAGTCAGCATAAATCGAATATGGAAATGAACAGCTTTTTTTCATTGCAGAACCATAGCATTTTCTAAATTGCTGGTTACAGGAATTATCTGCACGTGACTGAATTCACTCTACGGTCAGATGAGCAAAGGTAAACGTGATCGCAACGCGATCACCGCCAGCTATGTTAATTTACGTCACGTGTTGTCGCACAATAATATCACACGGCTTGATAACAACATCTGTGCTTGCGAATTATCAAATTATCCAATCAATTAATGAAATACTAGCATAATTCGTATAATTACTCGTCTTTGCAGGCCAAATCTGCATTATTAAACCATTTCGATCGATTCGTAAATATTATGTGTAGTGAAGGTCGTGCATCTCATGTTGACACGCATCGGTGCTTTTCCAACGATTCTGTGTCTTCAAAAGCAATGTGATATATATCCAAAAAATTTAATTATTATCACACACTGAAATTGTTTACTTGAATGTCATATGATTTGCAAACATGCATAACATATATCATATAATGCAAAATAATCTCTAACTATTTCAATAAAAAAAATTTAGTTATGTATAAGAAGAGTTACGCTTAACAGGAATAATATGACTTTTAGTCAAGAAGTCATGACTTTAGCCAAGAAGTTTGAAATTTAGTCAAGAAATTTTGATTTATTGTAATGTATATTCAAATATTTATAAAACGTGGTGTAGAGTTCATTATTATACAAAAAGTACAACTCGAACTTCGACAATGAGCATTTATAATTTCATTCTCACGAACGTTCACAATATTGCTGGTTTTATAATTATAATTGTAAGATAATATATTTTGAAATATAGAAGGATATATTAAAATCGACAAATAATATTTTGATCAAATTTGCATTTCAATGTTTGACGATGTTTCTCGTTTTACTTGATGTAATTCTTCAATTCACCGTTATTCTGCGTAGAGTGCGCTGAAAACTGTTGACCATACTATGTCGGTATTTCAGAGTATAAGCATTGACAGAATAGAATAGATTGGACATCAAATACTTTTTCGTGTCCCATCATTGACTAAAAATTGCAATGTCTATTCATATAGCTCGTCATGAAACACGAAAAAGGACTGGTTGTCCGGTTTATTCTAATTAGTTAATGGTCAATGTTGTAAGATTGATTTTTTTTAGGCTTCAACTTTCTTTTCTGAAATCTGTTTTACCTGTGGAACTTACAACAGTTCCCAATGACTTCCGCTAGAAGTATATTTGGCGCATTTTCATGAGCCAAATATAATTAGACGTGCTTTAAAAATAATGTAATAGTGTATTTTATTTGCTGACTGAAATCATTTACATGATTTTTGTGCTTCTAGTTCGTGAGACATTTGATATAAAATACTGCATTGCATAATTTAATATATGATTAGCTTAAAATGCTAAAATAGAAGTTGTCAGTTTATGATTATGGTTAACCTCAACAATTGTTGAAGTTTTATTTCTGAATAAGATTAATTGATTGTAGTGACCATTGTGAAAGAATTTATTATTTGAATTTACTTACGGTAAGTGTATCTAATAATAAATTCTACTTCTTATTCATAATAATATTTTGTGTAGAATATTCTAATAATTACCATAACCTATTTTCATTGTTCAGTTTTTCTGATTTTACCAAGTTTATAGCAACATAGAAAGAAATTGAAACATTTTTATAATTTTTATGTTATCCAGACTACTTGATGATGAATCCTGATATTCAGAAAAAGATTCTCAAGTTTGAAACATTTGTCAATGATGTGCTGAAAGAGGATCTTGCACAATTAGAACAGAAACTTGATGCTAAAAATGCAGATATTGCAGAATTTCTTCAGTTGAAGGCTATGATAACTACCTTTAAAAATAATGGCCTTGATAAAAGTGGTTTTAAAACTCAAGTAGATATCGGGCAAAATTTCTTTATAGAAGCACAAGTTTCAGATGCTTCTACAATTCTGTTGGATATTGGTTTAGGACATTACATGGAACTTTCTATAGATGAAGCTGTGGCTGTTATAAACGTTCGAGTTAAACTTCTAGAACAACAGATCAAACACTTTCGTAAGGAAATCGCCAGAACAAATGCTCACATCAAATTAATTCTCCTAGGCATTAGGGAGTTGCAAGGATTTGATGACAAAATGTAATTTTGTAATTTTTTTATGTGTACATATTTCTCTGCTAAGATTTGTACATATGTACTAGAACTTTCAATAAATATTAAACGACATTGAAACTCTGACTTCATTTTCTGAAACTCTTCATTTTCAAGATCAATGACGCTAACCAATTTCGACCTTGTTCAACGTATTCGCGCGTTTAACACAATGAAAATCATTCGCTATGCCACATCAATTTGCTACCTCGAGCACCGCGCTTTTGTTTCCTAGTTAAGCGCAATTGCGTAAATTTATGAGGACCTTGTACCTCGCTTATATATGATAGAGGTCAATCACGAGCAAAGCAGTGCGTTTTTCGCTTCAACGTGTTACTTTGGTATTTTTTTTTTTTTTTTTTTTGACGCGAAGCATTCATTTTAATGTCGGATTGGCGGAGCATACCATGCGTCGAAAGGCACAAAGAATTTCTCGAGAATCTTATCGCGATCTTGATCGATTGCACCTTCGAAAGTGTGTCCCGTGAAAATCCTGTATTGAGATGGAGAGAACCGGGTCATCTGCAGGATATTATAAATTTTAATTTGCAGGAAGAGTCCCGTACTCAGGACAGTCTCCTGGAAATCGCGACTAAAGTTTTTAAGTACAGCGTTAAGACAGGACATCCTTATTTTATGAATCAGTTATTTTCTGGGTAAGCTATTGATAAACACATGAGCCTTGTTTAGAATAAAAATCATTGCAAAAATTATTCATAATTTGCAAGCAATGACGTGATCAACTGCTCCGAAAAGCTTAGATGAAATTGATAAGTATTGTATTTGGCAAAGTAAAGTAAGTACTACAGTAATTTGTAGTACAGAAGTTTAAGCCAGATAGATTTATCACTTTCCATACCGAAAACAATATTTAAAATAATTCTAATTAATTATTACAAATAAGAGAAAACAGTCCAACAAATAATCCAACTTTTCGGAATAGTTTCTATCAACTGTACTTTATATTTTATTACGAAATTTATTATATTTTAAAGTGTCGGTTGAGGATTATAATAATATCATATAATCATCTTTGTCATTTTAGATCTGAGAAAATTTACGAGCCAGATCTAAATAAACAAAATCTAACGCTTTTTGTAAAATGTTATATTAAATTATATTTGTAAATTTTTCTTTTTCCCTAAATGAAAATTCAGCTGTAAATAATTTGTTAATTTTTATTACAATTCTTAATTACACTGCACATGTAGAGAATTAATTATTTAGAGTTTACTTTCATGTTGCATGTTTTCTTGCTTTTTTTAATATTCGTAGAAGCATGTAACAAGTTGATGTATTGAATGTAAAACAGTTTTATGTACTTCAACATCAATTGTAATTCGATCTAAATATGATTAGAAATTTAAATTATTGAAACGACATTTACATTTAACAATTTTGAATGTGACTAATATAATATATACGCGTTATATTGGATAAAAATTGATTTAGATTGGACCCGTACGGTTTAGCCGGACAATGGCTCACCGACGTGTTAAACTGTTCACTCTATACTTACGAAGTGGCACCGGTTTTGACATTAATGGAAAGTACTGTAATTACAAAATTATTAAACATGTTTTACAAAGAAGAAAATGGTGCTAGTATTGGAGATGGTCTCTTCTGTCCAGGAGGTTCCTTCGCTAATGGTACCGCAATAAATTTGGCACGATTTTGGTTTAGAAAGAGGATTCAAAATGTGAGTAATTACTTTAATAAATAATTTTTTGATAATCCGAATCATTTGTAACTGCATTATTATCATAAAATTGTACGATAAGATGGAATAAGTAGAACAGATTTTTCGATGTTCACGTCACTCTTAAAAAATGTAATTTTGTTGTCTTATTTAGATTTACGAATCTCCTTCTTCCCCGTCTAATTTTTTTTTCCCAAAATTATATATTTATCAGACGTCTATTGTATAATTTAGAATCATTACTTTTATTAAATATGTACTGCGTTTGATAAATATAACGAATGGTTTTAATAGAATAAAAAATATCCTACAACTACAAATTGAACGTTGTATCTAATATTTTAGATTCAATAGCTAATATTATATAATAGCTAATATCTCTTATTTTTATGTCTTTTAGAATAAAACTATACCATCTACGAACCTGGTGCTTTTCACATCTGAAGATGCGCATTACTCAGTCTCAAAGTGGGGAAACGTTTGCGATGTAGAGATTGTTCTCGTAAAAACTGATGAGTATGGCAGAATGGATATTAACGATTTGAAAGTTAATATATCGGAGGAACAAAAAAAAGGAAATTATCCGTTTTGTATTACTGCTACAGCAGGTTTGTTGAGCGATGCAGTAGTAATAACGATGATATATGCATGTAAGTTTAATCGTTATTATACATTTTATTTTTTAGGAACAACGGTTCTGGGTGCGTTCGATCTTTTGATTGAGATTGCGGATATTTGTCAAGAATTCGATATGTGGTTGCATGTAGATGCAGCCTGGGGAGGCGGTTTGATATTTAGTAAGAAGCACAGTGTTCTTTTGAGAGGAATACAAAGGGCAGATTCTATTCTATTTAATCCACACAAATTGCTGGCTGTTCCTCAACAATGCTCTCTACTTTTAACTAAACACAAGAATATTTTTAAAGAAGCACATTCTAAACAGGCGCCTTATCTCTTTCAAAAAGACAAATTTTATTGTAGAGATCTAGATGTGGGGGATAAGTATTTGCAATGCGGGCGTAGACCAGATGTGTTGAAATTCTGGTTCATGTGGCAGGCTAAGGTAATTTATAAATGAAATATCTAATTTAACTCATCTTTGCTTGTGTAAAATCATTTAATTTATCTCTGACGAAAAATATTCCCTGTTCAGAAATACTCTTTCCTTAAGCTTCATGCAAGGTTTCACATGCTTCCAACACAAGATAAGTCCTACTTGTATGATACATAGGTTCCTCTTCTTCCCTTATTAATCTTTAAGTGTTAACCACTTATGCAAATATGTGAAAAACTAGCCTTGGTAGCACTTTTTCCCCTGATCTTCTTTTAATTGTGCATCTTGTACTTTGTGATTTAAGCAAGTGCAGCAATGTACCACGTATGAGATAAGGGTCTGTATGCTATGTTTCAAGTGTTTACCAGTATACTTATGCATATATTAACTTCCCCTGTTAGAAGCAAAGAATGTTCATATTGCATCTATCTCAGTGCATTTTCAAGATCATAAAAGAATCTTCTGAAATTCTCAAGGGGGTTTGACGATAGCAATGGTTTCAAGCCAGTAACTTTCGAAGTAACTTTCATGCTTTATTCGTACATTTATATTTACATATTATGTTATTCTTTACATATTAAGGATTTGTACAATAATTTTAAATATTTACATTTGAAAAATGCTTAGAAAGTACTGCCGCTATGTGTCAATTCGGAATTCATTCTCCCAAATAGGTACGTCAAATTTAGGAAGTTTCAAAACCAATACTGGGGCAAAATTAAGAATTAGTTTACTTCAGAGTGGTAGAGTTTCAAGTATTAATATCTTGTAATTATTCCTAAATGAAATTATTTTATGCTGTCTAAACCTTAGACTCATATGACACTCGCGTTCATGTCAATAGAGTGACTAATGTCTATCTATATTCCCAGTTCCTTTTATGTAGAAACGTATTATATTAAATTATATTATTATTTATTATATTTATTAACAGAGTTTTGCTAGCAATAACCACTAGAAAACTGAATAATTTTATTTAAAAATATTTCGTTTCGTTAGTTAGTGAAGCACGGAAGCACGGTGTCTTTTTCTTTTAACATCGCCGCTATTACAGATATTACGGATATTACATGACAAATATCTTTATTTAATGCATGAATCTGAATTTTGTTGCCAAAATTTTATAGTGCTTATGTTATATAGACTAAGTTATAAGAATTTGTAAATTACGATTAAGATATTTCACTTCCGTCACAGTTTAAAGAGAGAGGTACTATTTAAAAATTATTCTCTTTTAATACAGGCAAAGGAAAACTTTAAATGACTTTAATTCTAATTATTATTGTTTTACATATCATCGATCAAAATAATTTGCATAAATATCTGTAAAGAATTAAATGGACTAAAATTAAATCTATTTTAGGGGACTTCGGGATTTGAAAAGCATGTCGATCATTTAATGAGATTTTCGACTCTTTTCAAAGAAGAAGTTGAGAAAAGAGATGGCTTTGAATTAGTGACAGAACCGTGTTTTATAAATGTATGTTTCTGGTTTGTTCCACCATCTTTAAGAGTACAAAATACATTGTATGATTACAAGAAACGATTGAATGAGGTAAGTTGAATAAATTTTTTATATTTTGATTGTAATAGGTGTAGAGTAATAAACTATATTTTAAAGCAGTGAAATATTCAAATATAATACGCGGAAAATTGTTATCTCATATACATATGTATATATATATGCATTTTAATATATGTATATAAACAATTTTTTAAAAATATATTATATTTAATGTTTTAAGAATACTTGGAACTATTTTAAATCCAATTAGTTCAAGTTCCGTTTCTTATAATATATTAATTAATATAAAATAACTTATTAATTCTAAGTTATACCGATAAGCTCAGATAAAAATACATGAACTGAGCTTTAAAATTTTATATTTATTTATCCCGATTTAGAAAATGGAATTTATTTTTGTTTATATGTATTTTATTGAAAATATATTTATATAAACCATAATATAATAGTTAAATTGCATTATATCAGTGTGATATGTATTTTATCTGTATGATATTATTATGCATTTTTACAAGTTAGTTAAAAAATACTGCATCGAGGATAGACAGGACAGAAATCTAGATTTCCTATCGTAGATAATAAAATTTTGCATATTTTATCGATAGTAGATTAAAAATTCAGTCAATAATATAGATTTCTCTTCTATTAGCAGTACATAACAGCACAGATCTCGTCTGTGCAATTTAAAAATATCTATTGTTGGTAACTATTTCTGTAAAAAAAAAAAAAATTGTTCTTGAAAACAAGTCAATATTGAATAATATTAAAAAATAATACAGTGAAAAAATATATTCATTAAGAATTTACTTATTTTAATAGGTTGCACCAAAGTTAAAGGAGAAAATGACCAAAAGGGGTAGTTTAATGATCAATTATCAACCACTCCATGAAAAACCAAATTTCTTCCGGTTTGTTATTCAGAATTCAGGCGTGGATATGCAAGATATTCTTTACGTCTTCGATGAATTAGAGAACCTCGGAGAATCTATGTGATAATCTACATATATATTATGCACATAAGTGAACGTTGTTTTTAATTTTTAAATAGTTATTTAATTTATAAATTCTTGTTTAATTACATTACAAACAATACAAAGAATAGCGACATCAAATTTTCATTTGCATCTCATTTTGCATTCTATAATTCATTATCTATAATTCGTTAAAAAATTGATGCACTGTACGCTTTAATTAAAAGTTTTTTTCTCTATTTTTGGCACGAATTCCGACGTCGGTCTCGAGTCTTTATTGGTTCCCTTTCAAAAGAATAAATGAATTCCGCCCACGAAAATCAATTCGTTCCGATTAAATAGGTGAGACCTAGCAGTTCGTCGATTTGATTAAGAAACGGGCCGCCAGTAAATTTCTAATGTCAAGGTACGAAGTTAATTCGCGATTGCCTTCGTTGTAGATCGTGGTGTCGCAACGTACCGGTTGACTAATCCTGATTCAAGTGACAGCATATAGAGAAGCCCTATGTATATCTATAGGACTAAGTTCGTACTATGTGGAGCATAATAATTTGCAACCATACGCCGCACGGTTTTCCGTTTGAAACTAAGGAAATCCTTTGACGCTTTACGAAACGCGTTATCCTCGATTTGGAATTTTTAAGTAGAATTTATTATCTTTATTATCGACGACAGAGCATGCTTATTTTACTTCCATTGATGCATGAATTGTATCAGGGAAAGCAAAAATTTATTCGTATAATGTTCGTGCGCTTATTTGATTGAAAATGCTTTTGTGAATTCACTTCGAAAGATAATGGATTAAAATAAGGTCTATATTCAAACGGATTGAAAATTGATGTATTAAATTAAATCGATTGAAATTTCACGAGTTCTTAATTGAACTGTTGAATAATTTTATTTAGCGTTGCTGTTCGGTTTAACCCTAATATTTTATATTTATCTCAATCTTCCTGCAGTAGATTATAAAACGTACTAATGAAATATGAAATCATTCCATTGTATTGGTCAACTTTGCGACAATTGTTGAAATTTATGTGATTGTAATTATTAATTTATATATATTAATATTAATCCTTATAATAGGATTTTGTACATTTAAAATAGTGGAATAATTTTTTTTCTAAGTAATTTTTCATTCACATTATGCAGTCAATAAATTTCGGATATATATTACGTAGAATATATTAAGTAGATAGATTTACGTCTATGAACATTTTGATTTACGTAACGTGACTTCTTGGTAATAACAGCAACGAGAAATTGACGTTTTATACTTGTATTTTTTTTCATAAACCCATCAAAATCGATCGTTTCTTCAAAGTAGGTCTTTAGATGTCTGCAATAAAAGTTACAATGATCCAGTGCGCTAGTCCATCTATGATGCGTAATTGTTACCGCTCTGTGTATTTTTAATTAAAATGTATGTCACAGTAATTTTAGGTGCATGAAATTTGTGGTGAAAATTTGAAAATATTTAAGAGTTAATTAACCTGGGTAATACATGTTGGTAATACATCCAATTGAATTTGATTAAAAAATTCAATAAATTTTCGAATGATAAAATGCGAATTTGTAAAAGTTTTCATATGATTAAATTTAATATTACGTATAAATATTACGTAATTGTCACTGATTTTTCTGCAGAAATTTGATTATTTTATTTTTATTTTCAATTCACATTCATTTATTTATTTTTTTTAATTCACAGCTTATTTTTATTCTGCATATGTAATTTTTCTAAATGATTTTTTCAAAATTATTTTTCAGCAGCAATTGCTATTTATAGAGATAATTGTCATTATTAATATGTTGCATCAATAAGATTAAACACGCTTTCACTATTATTCTAAAATTTTTCCGATGATTTCTGTGATTTGAACTTTTCAATGTGCATACATACATATAATTCCAGAAATGTCGAATATATTCGAATATATAATAAATATAAATTATAAACATCCGCAGTCTGCTAATGAGAGATGCAACGATTAGACTCACAATCGATATGCAAGCAATATGCCTCGTTATACTAGTCTTGAACGCGTTTCTTTATCGTATTAAAATAGGGTGTGCGAGAAACCCTTTACAGGGAACTGTGCTTGTGTGTTACGTTCCTGTTCCCGAGTCACTGCTAGGGGTGCTTGCCCTGCGGATGAACTTAGATAGTAGGTTGCCGCCACGAAAGACGGTGTTAACGTCGATAGTCACCATTCGAATCGTAGAGTAACCCGAATGTCAGTCGATATCTTCAAACTCGACGGCCAGGATGGGAAGGCTCTCCCAATTCACGTGCCACAGGTATTCTTTTTTTCCTTCCATCTTTTAAATTTAATTGACAATTTGAAGTAACTGAAAGTCATTTTTGGACAAAAATTGTGTGCACAGAATATTTTTATAAAATCAATCGTTTGAATAGTAATTGTAAATTGGATAAAAAATTTGGGTTGCGAAAAACTCGTTAATAATTGTTAATTTGACTATCAGTATTGTTAGAAACAAGAGATATTTATCTTTGTATTTTTGTTTTCGTTTAAAAAGATTTTAATTTTACATTAAATCCAGAAAAATGATTTTTATAGTTTCTTGCAGACATGACGGATAAGTTTAATTCGATATGATTAATTTAATATGGTGATAGTAGTCGTTATTTGACCGTTGTAAGAGTTTGCATATATTTGTTGTTTGTAACTCTCTTATTTTTGTAACTTGATTGCTCCTTTATAAAATTTCTTTCTACCTTGTGATTTTTCTAATATTTGTCAGATCGTTTGGGATACTTTCTTTGCTATTTGCAGAATGTGGGATTCTGGGAAACGTATCGTTACGTCATGGAAGATGCAGCAGGTTAGCTTTCTTCGCTATCAATTTAATTTATATCAATTACACAGAATAATTTAAATATAACGTTTCTATTCTGAGAATCGAGACCACAAATGACAGAAAATTTGAATGTGAATATATTGTGTATGTGCATGTGTATGTGTACAAAACGTTTTCAGTGTAAAGAGACAGTCCTATCGTGATTATAAAAGTTGCAGTACATTTATTGTGGATATACATTTAATAAAAAATTAGCATATGGACAATTGTCTTAAGCATACATATAAAAATCATATGGAGAAAATATGATAAATCTATTTTTGTTAATTGTGTGACTTTTGGTATTTTCTGATTTGTTGGCTAAAAAGAAGTATGGCTTTACTGTACATTCGCTATAGTATCAACTGAAAATTTCATATATGTTTTACAGTATATGCAGTTTATAATTAAGTGATAATACAGAATTGTGTTTTATAATTTATTTATTCCTTTAATTCTTTATTCTAGATTCCAGAGTAGCAGATTGGTTTTTAATGGGCAGTCCTTTTCCATTGCTAGGAATTATATGTCTTTATCTACTCTTCGTTCTTCATCTTGGCCCTTTTTGTATGAAAAATCGAAAACCATTCAATCTAAATAGACTTATGATTTGTTATAACATTTCTATGGCAACCGCGAGCGGAACTGTATTTTACGGGGTGAGTTCATTCAATATAGCTAGTTGTACCATAAAAATAATTTATTATAATACAAACTATTAGTTAATAGTTTTAAAAAAAAACCAATAATCATATAGACAACAAGATTTAAAATTATAGCAGTCTCAAATTAAATTTTATCTGTTTCAGAACTAAACAATTATTAAATGTTTGAATCTAATCGAATTAATACCAAACCTTTTTTATTTTTTATCATTAATAATAAATTTTAACAAATTTCATAGTATTTATTGTGATCTTCAACTGAAAAATAATAAAATTTTGCTGTCTTATATTTTTAACATCTTGTTATTAATAACTGTTCTTTAAACAATGATTAATATACTTTTATGCTTGAAGTTACTTACGTCAGGCTTCACTACAAAATTTTCTTTGGGATGCGAGACTCACGTCGTTTCGAACGATCCTGAATCTTATCGTGTAAGTGCTAAAAGCATTAGAGAAACGTGAATTTCGATATTATGAGAATTATGTCGTACTTAATAGATGGCTCGATGGGTGTGGAGGCTCTTAATGTTGAAAATCCTCGAGTTGAGCGACACCGTCATCTTCATTCTGAGGAAAAAATACAACCAAGCGTCTTTCCTCCACATTTATCATCACACGTCCACCGCTCTTCTTTCGTGGATCGCGTGCAAATTTGTTCCAGGTAAATCTTTGGACATTCGTGCAAATTTGCTCTTAATTTTAATCTGATACTGGTGATTAATGCATTCTTATATTTGATTCATTGTGTTACGTACGATTAGAATAATTCGTGTTAAATTGCTAGAACTTAGTGCGTTCAATTTTATTTGGTATTTTTGTTTCTCGTATTGCTGTTCGTGACAGAAATTCAATTGAATCAAAATTAGATAATTTAATCTCAAATTCTAACGATATTTAATGGCCAAATGATACCGTAAATGAAACTCAACCTTGCATCGTTGCCTCAATAATTCGCATCGACGATATCGTTCCAACATATCCCGATTAACTTCCAAACACACCTCTCCACCGAAGCAAAGTGAAAAAAGAAAAAAAAAAAAGAAAAAAAAAACAGAGAACCCGCATGAAACTCCGTGCAAAATTAAATTGCACCGCGATGTATCAAATTACCCCGATACAAAATGGTCACGGTATAAAACACACAGAGGAACGCGAATTTCCAACAGTCGTAAATAAAATCTCCCGTTGCCAAAAATCCATTGCTCGCCCTACCCCCCGTGTAACTTTGTTCGTTTCCAAGCTTCGAACTATTTCCACCGACCCTCTCTCTTTCGGCATGTGTTAAATGGTCGTTGTTATTTACAGGCGGCATGTGGACGTTCACGATTATGCCAAACTGCATCGTGCACGTGATTATGTACACCTATTATCTGCTCGCCTGCTTGGGCCCAGAAGTGCAAAAGAGGATCGCGCCTTGGAAACAATACATTACCGGGTTACAAATGGTACGTTCCCATTTTCTATCTGACTCCGCTATCTACCACGTTGCATATACATACACACACACGCACACACGCACACATACACCATGGTCCGGAATGCATATATTGTCGAGCGGGGGTGTGTGTTTCGCTGCGCCCGTTGAATTGCCGTGCTGGGAGCGTTATTCGCTCATTTCACCGTGCACCGTCGCGTATCGCGTAATCACAAAATTACATTGCCTGTCCTGCACCGAATTTTTTTCTCCAACGTGAAATTGCTATTGACGTTTCGGGCCGGCCGGTTATACGCGACCGGCTAAGTAAATTAATCTATATAAGCGAATAACGCGTAGAAAATACCGGGGCCGATCTGCGGTGGCTGTTTCGGCCGATCGTTTGGCGAAACTGTTTGCGAAACTGGCCGATTGGATAATGGTAATAGCGTAGAATGTTGCGCGGATGTGAGGGTGTGTCGGTGTGAGGAGGCGGGCGAAATTTACGGGCTACGTCCGTATAATTTGAGAGATTTTATAATTATGGTACGACTTTTTGGTAGTGAAGTGTATGGTTTCAATATCGGTTGGGAATATTATTTTTAATTATCTGATAGATCACGAGTAGTCTTAGTCGTGGAGAGTTGAAAATTCATTGGGAACATATCATTTTCCTGCAAAAATATATTATTTGTTACGGGTTCAGTAGTAAATCCAACTTCTCACGTCGAACGTTTTCATCTTTGAGGTTCATTTGTCATCTCTGTTTGTCTATTATTCCTTATTACGATATATAAATATTCTCGTACAACGTGAATTTTCTAGTCACATCTATCGAGAGAGTTTCAACTAATGTTTTCTACAATTCATTTGCATCAAATTCGTTTGCACATACGTTTTCCTAACCCTCCTTGACTTTACGTCAGGCTCGTTCACAAAATTTTATCCTCTTGTGATTTCTTGACAAGATATCAGATTCGTTAGCACGTGATTCCTGGAGGCTTTCTGATAACGTGATCAGATTTGTTCTAGTCATCAATATTCCAAGCAGTACTTCGATTATTGATCATATTTCAATAATGAATTGGCAAACAATATTTTCTTTTGGACATTGTCTTCAATCTTTTATACTGTACGCAGTCTTCACAAATTTGATTTTCAATCGTACGATGTTTCATTTTTACATATTAGGTATTTATTAAGTCTAAATAATTTGTTTTATACAGAACAATTTCACTAAAATAATAATCAAAGACTCATTGAAAGACTAATCAAAATAATTACAAAACTTCATTAATATTCTGTTAATTTTATTATGTTTTATTGCGTAAGAAGACCTCAGTTATGAATTTCTTATAAATATTCTGTATTTCTTATTTAATAATAATATTGTGAAATCCGAAATTCTCACTTATAAATCTCAATGTCATCGTTCTTGTAACGGAGTTATAAAAGGAAAAATTACTAGATATCTCACGAGTGGAATTCTCAGTGGAATAGTATCGATAGTCAAACATCGTGCATCGGAACTGGTATGCTCTTAGCCACAGTGACTACGCTATTGAAAATTTCATTCGAGTCGCCAATCAAGCCAGGAATCGTGAGAAAAAATGAATAAAAACTGCACGAGTTTCGTTCGAGCACTTGGGGAAACAATGAAATACGGTCACGCCTCCGATCACCGGATCTCCATCGTGCAATATGTTTTCGCGAACAAGTATGGGACAGCACATAGACGTTCATTGCGATCAGGCTGTTCGAATCAGGTACAGGGTGTATAAAAATAGTTGAGCAGAAAATTGGATATGTGAGAAATGATCAACTATAGATTATTACTATATTATCAACGACTAAAATATTTATATCAAAAAGATAAAAATCTAAAAGTATGAGTACTCGTAAAATTGTAAACTTTTTACGAAAAATTACAAAACTACCGAAACTAAAAACATTTTTCAAAACGTATTACTCGCACGTTAACTGTTACTGCGTTATTTAAATAAATTATAAATTAAAATTATAAAATTAATATTAAAATCGAATTTAAATTAATATTAATATAAATTGAAATTAATGTTATATTATTTACAGATATGTAAATTGTAAATTAAAGTCGCAAAATTGACACGAAGAAATTACGAATTAAAATTGTGAAATTAATATGAAAATTAGAGAGCAACAGTTTCGGTAATTCTCTGCGTCAGCAATTCTGTCCAACGTTCTTGACGCATCCTGTACACACACGTTTCACGTTTAACGTGCACATATTGGCTCGTATTTGGCCCTGTCTAACTCGATAACCAGGTTTTTTGCAGGGAGGTTGAAAGGGTCGTAAGTGCCCGACGCGGAATTACACGTGTACTAGCGGTGATTCGATTTACGTTTCGAGTTTCGACAGAAAACAACGGGTTAGGCGCACCGAGAAAGGCAGCGACTGCTGCCGCTTTTTAATTAAATAATCCGTCGTCGGGCAACTTTTATTCCTCCGTTGGATATCTACGGGACGATTTATCGGGTTACGCGGTCGTTTAATTTCGAGTTTTAAACCGTTTCACGCTGCGACGAGTGGAACTGCAGCTTCGGGTGAAGAGTGCCACGACAGGCTAGAGTGTCATTTTACCTACAACGCGGAGAGAGGCCTTATTAAGCTCCGTTGTGCGTGAACAACGTTGTTTTCGTTTCGCGCTTCTCCTTCGGAGCGACTCGCTCTTTTCACATTTCCCTTGCATTTTTCTTCTCCTCTTTCACATTCCCTTTCACTCTCTGGAAAATTTTATTGTCTTTTATGGAAAATTTTTAGGAAACAGAGCATTTTCATCAATGATAAATTCTGAAATATCGCATCTCAGCACGAGCTCTTAATTATGCATGTATCTGCAGAATACGGATGAAAGAAAGTTGCAAGGTAGAATGAGTCACGGAAATTTCAGAATTCTTTTTAATACCGAAACTTCATTGCAATTCTCACTGATACGAATCTTTGGAATTTATTTGTAAAAAGATACAAATCGTTTGAAATTGCTAAAAGATAGTACGAATATTTCTGTGACTTATTGTATATAACACAATCTATAATTTTCTGATTAAGAAGAACAACGAATACAACGATTATTATTAACATTAGTAAAATAATATACTCGAATGAAACTTCTTTTGCCCAACATTGTATTTCATACGATTTGTTTCGAAGAAACACGAGGTTTGTTCGTTGTATCAAAAATAAAATATGTCTTCTTTTATGCTTTCAGTTCCAGTTTATAATCATGATATGTCACACGTTCCAAACTTTGTTGCCTACTTGCGAACCAAATCGAAAACCAATAGCTTATATCTACATGTCGCAGATTCTTATCATGTTTTACATGTTTTGCGACTACTACAAGAAATCGTATCTCAGAAAAAAGGCGGAGTAAAGATTTAAAGAGTCATAAAAACTGTAAGTAAACAGGGTAAGTAAACATTATAATCGCTTTTAAAAGTATCGTTTTTACATTCACATTTTCCCGAGTCAATAAATTATCAGACATTCACGTAAATTTTGTGCATTTATTCTAAATTGGACGACACATTTTGAAAATATGATCGTCTGAAAATACTCACTTCTAACAGGATTATTTCGGTAATTGCACGAAAATAGGATTTCAATCAAATATTCTTTAATTAAGCAGAAACATATTTATATTATTCACTCTTTGTTTCACGTGCCAATATTGCGACTCGATTAAACATAGAATTGTAATTATTCGCGACTGATATTCTGACCGTTATTTTAGTAATAATTTTCCTCCAAATTTACCAATTATCGTACTGTATATCAATTATCCTGTAACTTTTACAATTATTTCATTATGGCCGAACGATATCGATTACGCTGTTTTAATTTCGCCTGGAATATCAATTCGGCGTAAATTAATCATCGTGATAAATTTATACGCAAATATTACAATGATCGTCTCGTTCCAATAGCCGCTTTTTGTATCGACAGGTGATTCCGGATTACACGCTGTACGAACGCTGCTTTGAAAATCGTAGAAATCCTGCTATACCGGCCAGTTACTGTTCGCTGTTCCATTCTCGAAGAGGCGTGTCTACATGGTGATAATTTCGTGGAAAATCGTGATAGAACGAACGTGGATCACGAACGTTTGATGTATCGCACCGGCGGAACACATTAGAAAGACATGCATCGGAAAACAGGCACACGACACGACATAACACCGAAGTTGACGTATACGCATCAGAGTTGGGTGAAATTTTACTTGCAAATTCAAAATTTTATTCTACAAAAGGGGAAATATTGATTTTGTTGAGTAACTAGCACTATAAAGATCGGCTTTGCTAGTAATCTTTATCAGATATTGCTGAGTTTTGTTAAGAATCTACAAAATTTGATTTTTGTTACTTATAAAGGAAACATGAAAATAAATCTAGATAGAAATATATTAATATTTAAATTTATCGCAATTGTTTGATGATCACTAACTGCTGAAAAATACACGAAACTACAGTAACGTCATTAATTATCTAAAAATCGCATGACAGTGGTCGTTATAGTGCTAATGAACAACTGATCAAGTCGAATTTATTATGGGAATTTAGTTGCTATTATATTGACTTTTACAATTATTTTTAATGAACAATTATAATAGACGTAATAGTTTTTCATCGATATGAATTAAGTTAGTTTATTTAATTATTTTTTATTAATAAAACATTCGACTGAAATGAATATATTTAAATAATTATTTGTTTTAAACAGTACCCAACTCTGGTATGTATTTTCCTCGCAAGAGTATTTTCACTCGAATTTTTCTTTTTCCTCTACTTTCTCTTATTTTTTTCTTTCTTTTCTTGTTTTGTCTTTTGCCAGTGAGCGAGGGATCGAAATGCATTGGATTTTATTTCGCGTAATATCGAGACAGTGCTAACACTTTCGACACTATAGTGGTGATTCTAATTTTATTAAAATCCGGCAGACAGCGGATCGACATTAACGTTCGTTGAATACTTTTTTGCGGAGTGTTCTCCTTTTAGTGGTGCTCGTTCGTAGCTTAGATTCTTTTTTTATTCTCTCTTATTCTGTATCGCGATTACGCAGGACGTTGGATATTCAATATTTTCGCTTTTAGCGGTTAATTTCAACTGGATAGATCCGCGTTAGATAAACTTCCGCGTCGAGGGAATTTGAAAGAAGTTAAAATGTTAATTATAGTTCTAGTATATTCTTGTATGGACCATGTAAGTTTTGGAATTATGCAACGAACGTGTATTTTACAAATGTATTGGAAACGACAAGCTGAAATGTATGTAATAAAGAATATTAAGTTCAAGTATTTGAGCGTTGTGCATTCATCATTATAAATGAACAGATCTGTTAGCCTTTTCAGTAGTATTAGCCGTACGTGCACAGTCAGACCAGTGCAGACTAAATACAATACAAATAGACATAAGTGTATAATATATTTATTGGAGTGTGAAATTCCATGCAAATTCGTATTTTCAAAAACATAATTAAAAAAATAGAATTAATTAAAATTGCATAAAAATACTTCGAATATCTGGATATTTTATAGACATACTTGCCCACGTTGCATGCATTCTGCGCAAAACGTTATTTTATTATATTATATAAAATAATAAAACATGAAATCAAATGTATGAATGTAGCAGAAATATTTTTATGTAACTAAACAAATCTTGCTTTGCCGATACATGAACGTGTGTACTTCTAAACTGCTTGCTGGATTAATTATGATCAAAAAATATGGATGTATGTATACGTTTCAAATGAATTGTTAAGCACTTGAAAACGTAATGAAATAATAAAATGTATAAATAAGAAGAAATTGAAATATACAAATTATTAATTTTTTTATATATCACTGTGATACACTTTTATTTTTATTTACTATTTATTATTTATTTTTTATTTTTATTAATTTATTGGTGATTTACGTTAAATTAAATAATTTATCAAAGTACAGAAGGTCTCAGTCAACTTGTATTAAAGTGCGCAAGACAAAGGCGCAATTTAGATGAGCAAGTAGTCACAGACTACCAATTGTCAGACGTAACCTGTAATCAAATAACAGGGGCTATAACTTCTCAAGTTTTAACAAGTCTAACGAGTTGAACGGGTGTTTCGATTAAAAGTTACTCAACTTAATAGGAAAATATAAAATTTCTCGGTAACAACGTCATGTAAATTACTTTTATACATCCTAAATAGCTTTTTATACATTCTGTTGTTCTCTTTATCCTTTTTGTAGTTATTTAACTACTTCTCTATGCCGCTGAAACAAGTTCGACAAACAGTAAATCTACTATTATATATATATCTAGCATTTTATAAATATATTTAATTGAAACTATTACATAACATTTTATATTGTTTTTTAATTGTCCTTAATGCTTAATGCTTAACACTATTATGACTTATTAGTGTTAAGTATTTCTAATTATAATAATAAATTGTTATAATTAAATTTAGTTGTTTAATAAAAATTAAGAAATTCATTGATTCCTAAGATTAAAAATATCTATAATAACTTTCAAACTTATTTCAGAAATAAACGAAAAATTGTATTAATAAATGAAAACTAATACACAATCTTTTCAATAATGATTAATTGACATTAATTCAGAATACAAATAATTACAAATAATAACTCATTTTCAATGCTTTTCGTTGACTAAAATTGCCTACGATAATTCATACATTCCCTCCTAAAGTTTTGACGTGGTAGTATTTGAATATTATATCCCCTTTTGCGAGTACACGGTTATAGGCATCATTCTTGTATATGGCTGCGTTCCCTCTCACGGACACGCGTGTCTAAAAGGGTAGTATTATAGTCGTCGTTTTCCTGGTCGCCCAAAATTAGCATAGAGGATTAACGCGTCTGTGGTTTAAAGTCGGCACGCATGGTTGCACGCCGATAAGAGTTTATTAACGCCGGCTATTTATCTAGAAATTTTGACCGACACAGAACCCTTCACTCCCTTCCTCTGTCGAAATTCAAAGTGAATTGGTTCACGTACGAAGCTCCTCAGCTTCATCACCTCATGTTTGAGAGGATTACGAAAATGAAATTTATAAGATGAACAAATAAATGGCAGACATTTTTAACGATGCAACTTTTCTTTAGTCAACACTTGTTGGAAAGTTGTAACAGTATGAAAAGAATAACACTTTGTCCTCTAACATCGTCTCCAACTTTACTTTTTTCCACTAGGCTTTTAGGACTTTTACGATATCTTTGAATATTTAAATTATAACTGTAACATTCAAAGAAATATTAATAGAAGGCGGAGTGAACTGATACAATATTGACAAAGTTTGGTTACCAGCGATAGAATCACAGACGATGAAAGAAAAAAATCTAGAAAAGTATTTCATTTTCGAAAAAGAAACCAGAAAATTTCCATGAAAAAATTACGAATTTGTCATCTTGACCACCGTAGTGGTCGAATCAGACAATTTTAACGTCGTATCAATGTCACAGATAAAGTTATGTTTTTGTTTTTGTTCTCGTTCTATAGTACTTTCCTATACTTTAACAGAGAATCGTTCTCCCTTTTACTGAATTAGTAATATTAAAGAGGCCGTGAATGCATTACTTCCGCCGTGAAGTATTAAACGAGGATGCTGGCGTCCTTCGTGGTCACATGCAATACTTATGCCTGGGAAAGAAAAAGGGAAAAAGCGGATCCTTTCGTCCGAAATGTATGACCGTGCAACCAGCTGCCTCGCCTTTGCTCGGCGAATTCATTTTTTAGACTTGGCGAGGTTTGTTCATGCCCGACACTGTGAAGTTTTTGTCGTGCCACAACTTCTGCGATTTGCAAATTTCAAGCAGGAGCCACCTTTTTGCAGCTTCTCTGACTTTTCCCGTTCCTTTCCTATGGTCTCCATATATTGTTCACAGTGATGTACAATCATTTACAGCAACTCAAAATTGCTTGTAAATTTGTAAGTTTTTACAACAAATAGTTTGAAATAAACTTATAAAAGGTATCACAAATTATTCGTAATAATAAATTGTACTACAAGTGAATACAAATGAATTTCTATTACAGTTGATAAAATCATTATTATATTTATTAAATATTTATTACATTTAAAATTCCTATTAAAAGAATTTTCATTAATAATATAATTATTGCGATATTCGGTACGTGAAACAAATTTCTATTCAGATTCAGTTTCTTCAATTACGTTTATAAAAACATAAAATTATGTAAACATTTAAAATCTATTTATTAGTTTGTTATTATTTTATTATATTTATTATATTATTTTTATTATTTTATTATATTTATTTAAAATTAATAAAATAAATTATTTTATTTATTTGTTATTATTTTATTATTTTATTTATTTAAAATCTATTTATTAGTTTATTTTATTTTATTTATTAGTATTCAGTAAAAAGCGTGTCTTCCTGTTTTTTACATAATTTCAACGATTTTGAAAAGTTTCATTTTTACTTCATTTTTTTTCACTACGTTTGAAAGAGGAGTATCTGCATGGTTCTTGCTTATTACGAAACTAAACACAAAACCTGGATAGACTTTCTCATTTTTGCATTAGCCGAGTCTCTCGATTATTACGGTGTTTTTTCATTTGGAAAGAGAAGCTTTCGAGTTTAATGTTAGTTAGTTGTTTGCATCGTACAGATCTCAGTGCCATTTAGTATTCACATTAAAAGTCCACTATTTGTTTGAAATTTTCGTTTCAAGTTTTAAAATTCAGTCTAGAATATTTATTCTTCTAATATGTATTTATATGCGTACGTATATTTATAGGAAAATTTTATGCTACTGATACATTCACTACGATGGTTTTAATAAAGAGTTTAAATTCAGTGATGGCAAACTGTTATTAGCTACCGCGGAAAAGATAGACTTCGCTTAAAAAAAAAAAAAAAATATCTCAAACTTGAATATTTAAAATGTTTTCAACGCTGAAACTACCAACGAGTAAAATATAAAATTTATATTAAAGAATTTTAAATGGAAGATACATATACGAAAAAAAACAAATAATATGAGAAGAAAATAAACCACTATCTTTATACTTTGAAAAGAGTTATTTAAACCATTTAAATGTAATCTGTTTGTAATAAATTTATAAAATTTCTTTCTGAAATTACAATTATGTTAGAGCGTATTATTGTAATAAAATGTAATAGAGTGTCTCTAGTGAAATAGATAAAAGTTTCAAGATCCCACTGTTTTATTAAACTGATTTACTATCAATTCAACACCATTGATTAATTATAATTTACAATTAATCTATAATATAAAATATAATATAATAAAATAAAATATAACGTTTAAAATTAAATTTAAAATGTAAAATTTATGTTTTCTGACCCTCATCTATGGCACTTTGTAAAATCCTTAAACAATCTTCATACCTTACAGAATTAATATTCATTTTTACAGGCGTGCTACATATTTCAGTCCGCAGGTGTTGCCCCTACACTTACAAACTTATGTATATATATATATATATATATATAGATGACTAAAAGAAGTAATATGCCATTTATTTTCTGAAAGTGACGTCATCCACACAAGTGACCTCCATTTCTTTTCAGATATTCGCATCTGCTATGCGCTTTATGCATGAGATGCAGTATATCTCTAGGAATATTACAAATTTTTAAGTTCTTCTGCGTCGGTGTGAGTTATATTTCACAATTCTATTCTTTTTTCTTTAAAAACGACATACTAGTAACAAAAGTTTCTAATGACGCAATTTTTTTGTTGAAAATGTTGATGTATATAGACAACACCTCTAAAATAATATTTCAAAAAATATTTACTATTTTCTTTTCACTTGTGCCTTAAATTTTATTTTATTTTATACAATCAAGTTGTCATCAAATCAGTATGTATAATTTCTTTTCGATATCTTCACAAATTCGAAACTCTCGCATTAAAAGTATCGACCTTTCTATTTCCTATCTCATTTCATTTCATTTCTAATAAATCTTCTTCGCTAAAAATATCACCACCACAAGAATTGTCACTTGCTAATTTCTCGCGGAATATGAATTGTCTCACGACCAGGCCAGCTGGTGTGCAATTGCATTGCCCAGTCTACGAACGTCGTTTTTTATTCTTCGAAAATTTTAATCCCCTTTTCGGACTCATTACTGGCGGGACACGCGTGGCCGTGATTCTTTTTTTACAGCCGGGGCCAATATCGTGAAATTTATAAGACAGTGCACGCTGCTACCATATTGCGCAGCCACGCTGCACGACGTAACTGCTTGCTTAAATACCGGCCAAACGCATACACACGTCTGGCGGATACAACCGAGTCGCAGAGAACGCAGCCAACTTCCGGCTCTTTGGCACGATACGACGATTCGAAAGCTCGTTCGAATCGCCCGCCGTAATCGTATGTCTTCCACCGTGCCAGACCGCCACTCGCACTCCTGCGATAATTATGGCGTAGCTT